ATTCATTCCCTTTGTGAAGTAAATGATCATCTATTTGATTAATCTGCAACTTCTAATGTAATACTGAGCATACAGGAAATACTCAGTAAAGGAAACCTACAATGTTATATAGAAAAAGATTAACATTTAACAGACACAAGAATGGAAAATTATCTGTTGAGGATGATGCATATTGTAATATCTTTTTTTTCTTTTTTTAGAGAGGTTTTTGCATTCTCCAGACAGAGAGAGACAGAGAGACAGAGAGCGAGAAATCACCCCCCCAGGGGGGATGGCCATGCCACAATCCCCTCTCCTCCATTCTCCTCTTGGGATCTTGGGCAGGCACGCACACGTGCCCGGCGTGAGTTTAAGCCACCGGGTCTGGGACTCGAACCACGGTCGACTACATGGGAGCCCAGGGACATAGCCATTATGCTAACTGCTGGTCCCAGATATTGTAATATCTTTTATTTGATTCCCATGTATATATGCTGGGAAACATATGGGGGAAACTATTTTATACCCTGTAAAGATAGAAATGACTAAATGTAAATAAAATAAAAAAGATAAAAGACTTTTGCAAATTAATTAGAAAGACAAATATGGGGCCAGCAAGAAGCATGGTGGATAAGGTACTGGACTCTCACATGGCCAACTGTGGTTCAAGTCCCAGACATGGTGGCTTACTTTTCTCATTTTCCCTTTCCTTATCTCTCTCTTTCTGGTCAAATTAAAAAATAATAATAACAACAATGGAATTAAATAAATAAATATTTTTTTAAAAAAAGAAAGACAAATTCATTTTTACTTTTCTGGTTTTGTATAAAGGTTTATGTTAAAGTTGAGAATCTTTCTAGAGTTAATTTCATTTCATACTCTCAGGTAAGAAAGCTGAGGCCTGGAGAAGAGAAATGTTTTTCTAAGGTCATGTGGCAAATCATTTGGCCAACTCAGTAGAACACTGGGAACCTAATTTCTTCCAGTCCACAACTTTTCTTTGGTTAACTGATCAAGCTAGCATGATGTAAGAATTTGATCTTTCAGATTATCTCAGAACCTCTAGAATATGAGAACTAGCCTTTGGAAGAGCTGCAACTCTCTTAATCCTAGTAAGTTTCCTAACTAGTGTAACTCTGTTTCTTAATGAAAATTCTATTCATATATATTTTTCATCACCCTCAAAATGACATGTCCCTTATTCTACTTGCTTCTTATAAATATCCTCACTAGACTCACTGGGAAACTGAAGTCTGTAGAGGAGAAACAATTTGTCTAAGGCAATTCAGCTGGTCACATGAACATATGTGCTAGGTTTATAATTTTGTCCTTATGACCCTCCTAAGAGGCAGAAAGATAATTTTAGCAGCAAGAAATCTGAGATGGGTGGCTAGCAGGCTTCTGACAAGGTCTGAAACGGCAAACCTAGGGCCCAGGCTCAAAGACTCAACTTAAAACTACCTGGATATAATAGCTATGTGAGTCCTTACCAGTGTTACCCATTCTAATCCTGGAAGAAGGAAAACAAAACGAGCTTTTTGGAAAGGCTTCCACCTGACATTCAAAGCCCTTCTCAATCAAGCTCCAAACTGCCTGTCCAACTATGTCTCTCCTTAAACTCTGGTGCTTAAACTGCACCAGTGGATTCACTGGGACCCAAAACATACCATATACTTTCCTATCTATGAACCTTTGCTCAGCTAAGAATGCTTTCTCTCCCTTTAAAATTTCAATGAAATGTGACTCACTCTTTAAGGCCTGGTCCAATGTTGACCTCCTCTAGGAAGTCATCCCTGTATCCTTGGGACAGGCATTATCTTTGGTTCTCATATTGCCAAAATGCTCCCATCTATCTGAGTAAGTATCCACCAGTATTTTCATGGTCTGCTTTCCCACTAGACTGAGCTCCTGGAGGATGGGAACTGGATCTTAGTCATCTGTATTTCCAATGTCCAGCTCAGGGCCCAAAACAGAGGAGACACTAGTTAATTAGTGTTTGTGTAGTCAAATTGAAAAAATGATAATAACAATGGAATTAAATAAATAAATAATTTTTAAAAAAGAAAGACAAATTCATTTTTACTATTCTGGTTTTGTATAAAGGTTTATGTTAAAATTGAGGCGCTCTCTAGAGTTAATTTCATCTCACTCTCTCAGGTAAGAAAGCTGAGGCCTGGAGAAGGGAAATGTTTTCCTAGGGTCATGTGGCAAATCATTTGGCCAACTCAGTAGAACACTGGGAACCTAATTTCTTCCAGTCCACAACTTTTCTTTGGTTAACTGATCAAGCTAGCATGATGTAAGAATTTGATCTTCCAGATTATCTCAGAACTGTCAGAGAAGAGAGAACCTCTCTGATCTAGATGACATGAACATACAGACAAGTAATATCAGTCTATCAAGGTAAATGTCATAACAGAGAGGTATGCAGGGTACTGGATGGAGGAACTAAATTGGTCTGAGGTAGAAAGAAGGTGGCATTTAGAAAAGTTTCTCAACCTTGAATGGAACAGAATAGAATAAACAAAAGAATGAAGTCCACTCTGATATGGTCTACTGAACCTGTTTGGTTGTAGAGGGTTACTTATTAGACCAAGACCAAGAATGGAGCCACAGCTTCTAAAATTGAAATAGAGTATAAATAAAATAGGGTTAATGTACTGAAACATGAACTGTATGAAAAGTATTGGTAATTATAAAAGAAAAATTAAACTATCTCTAGAAAGAAAAATGAATAGTATGACTTTCCAAGGCCCATAGATCTTAACCTGCCCCTCCAAAGAATGGGGTGTATGGAGGAAATCCCATTTAAAGCAGCATTAAGACATTGCTTATGGGTAATAAAATCACAAATGGGATCTTAATGCCGGTAATTCTTGGAGTATGTGGCATAAATGCATTTGTTGGGGGTTAGGGTGCCAAGTGGAGATTGGTCACATGCTTATAGCCCAGGTTCATGCATATGTTAGGTCATTCATGGCAGCAGCCCAAAACTCATTTCCTTCTCAGCCACTGCCCTGGCCCACCATCCTTCCCATTATTTCCAGTATATACCAGGGAAATGTTTTCCTAGGGTCATGTGGCAAATCATTTGGCCAACTCAGTAGAACACTGGGAACCTAATTTCTTCCAGTCCACAACTTTTCTTTGGTTAACTGATCAAGCTAGCATGATGTAAGAATTTGATCTTCCAGATTATCTCAGAACTGTCAGAGAAGAGAGAACCTCTCTGATCTAGATGACATGAACATACAGACAAGTAATATCAGTCTATCAAGGTAAATGTCATAACAGAGAGGTATGCAGGGTACTGGATGGAGGAACTAAATTGGTCTGAGGTAGAAAGAAGGTGGCATTTAGAAAAGTTTCTCAACCTTGAATGGAACAGAATAGAATAAACAAAAGAATGAAGTCCACTCTGATATGGTCTACTGAACCTGTTTGGTTGTAGAGGGTTACTTATTAGACCAAGACCAAGAATGGAGCCACAGCTTCTAAAATTGAAATAGAGTATAAATAAAATAGGGTTAATGTACTGAAACATGAACTGTATGAAAAGTATTGGTAATTATAAAAGAAAAATTAAACTATCTCTAGAAAGAAAAATGAATAGTATGACTTTCCAAGGCCCATAGATCTTAACCTGCCCCTCCAAAGAATGGGGTGTATGGAGGAAATCCCATTTAAAGCAGCATTAAGACATTGCTTATGGGTAATAAAATCACAAATGGGATCTTAATGCCGGTAATTCTTGGAGTATGTGGCATAAATGCATTTGTTGGGGGTTAGGGTGCCAAGTGGAGATTGGTCACATGCTTATAGCCCAGGTTCATGCATATGTTAGGTCATTCATGGCAGCAGCCCAAAACTCATTTCCTTCTCAGCCACTGCCCTGGCCCACCATCCTTCCCATTATTTCCAGTATATACCACAAAGTGCATCATATTTTAGTCCTAAAAGTAGCTCTCCACAGACCGTAATCACTCAGGGAGAAGAGTAGCTGGAGGATTACGAGTGGTATAGTCTGTGGAGGCTCAAAGAAAAAAAAAAAAAAA